ACACCGGAGCTGTTTGTCAAATAGTCCGATTGCTCTGATCCGATTCTAACACAAAGTTCCCGATTGGTCAGATTGGACTTGAACCAACGAGTTAAATCCGAGGATACACCGAGTTTTTCAAGTTTAGCTAGCAGTATGGAGTGGTCAACCAGACATAAAGAAATGAACGGAGCTAGATTTGTTGAAACTGATCTCTTGGTATAAAAACCGTGTTGGTCAGGAGAAATGTATTTTTTGCAGTCAGAGAATAATGCGTCGTTGATGATGATTTCGAAAACTTTAGAGCAGGCACTGAGTGATGTGATCCCTCGGTAATTCGACATTTCTCTTGTCTCCTTTCTTGTAGATCGGGAACATGAATGACGATTTTCAACGCGTAGGGAACTCCTCCTGCTGTAATAAAAAATATTGAACAGCTTTGTAAGCTCTGAACAGCATCGCTTCAGGATGCTTGAGGGGATCCCTTCAGGGCCAGCAGCATTAGAAAATTTCAGCTTCTTGATGACGGATTCGATGAGGTCTACTGTAACCGAGGTAATCGAAAAATTGAAAGCATCACTGGGAGTGTCCCTCACCGCTTCAGCAACTTGGGACAACGAAGCCGTAGTGTCATTGAAAATGCTTTTGAAATGTTCTGCCAGAAGATTACATTTCGACTGGTAGCCCCTCCTCATTTCGTTTGGTATTCACGAATGACCAGAACTGCTTTGGATTAAGCCGTAAATAAGCCTGCACACGCCTTGTGTACACACTTAGAAATATCTAATTTTACACGTGACGGAATCCATCTTTGACATAAAGGATGAGACGTAAACAAACATGTCATGTAAAATTAAGTGCTCCGAGACTGAAAAGTTCGGTACTCGACGAAAAGTACGCTTGATTGAGCTGAGTTTTGCGTCTATTACGACTCAATTTTATGTCAAAAATGACGCTCGTATATGTCAGTCTCAGAGCACCTAAATTTACATGATTTTTTTAAAGTGTGTAGCTCTTGTAAAGAATGCGGTTATATGTGCGATATTAGTTGCTCGCTGTTGAAAATAATCGTTTAGTGAATGGGTTACGAGTACGACAGTATTTACGGAGGGCCTTCGATCTCAGACGCTTCAAATTCCGTAGTCGAGCATTGGACCATGCGGGTTTGGAAGAGGGTATCCTCAATGGGACAGAATCAGTTATTGCCCGGCCAACGACCTCAGCGAAGTAGTTGACGGCTTCATCAATAGATGAACACGTGTCAAGGAACTGCCAATCTGTCTGGGAAAGCGAGTGACTCAGCGCGACGAAATCTGATCTACGAAAGTCGAGCTCATGTACATCAACAGGGGGGTTATCGTAGCGAACATAAACAGATAGGTTGATGGAAACTTCCAACGCAGGATGATTGGTGTCGATGCCAATCAAAGGCTCTGGGGCTTCTAGGATAGAACATTCCAGTCCTGCAGCTTCGTTCGCCAGAACGAGATCAAGCAGCCGAGAGTTGCTATTCAGTATCGAGTTGATTTGCATTAAGCCATGCAGGTTGAAACCATCAAGGAGAGCACATCAGGATGCGGACATGTTCGAGCGAAGAACATCATTGCTAGGAAGATCGTTTGCAGGAACGTTCTCATGAGGAACGCTCTCATGAGCCCAGACTGATTGTAGTCACCAAATACCAGAGCTAGGTCGTTTTGTTCTAGTCGAGAGAACACGCTACCAATCGAACTGATGTGGTTTGCAATGCTGCTCGAATCATATTTCCGGTCTGGAGGTAGATACATAGCGCCAATACTTATTGATCTACGAGGCGTCGTTATTTTGACCCACAGCTGCTCTAGAGAAGTGCAAACTGGAGCAGGATCGATGCAGGAGCTTAGGAGTTAGGATACCGCAAACAAGACGCCTCCCCCACGCGAGTTGGTGCTATTCTGGTAGTGAATGTTAAATGGTGAGGTTAAACTACAGCTTCCATCGTGGGATGTCCCGGGATGAAAATCCCGGGATTGTGAATAAATTTATAAAACCCGTGATCGCGTGTATGATGTTTGCCGGGATCGCGTGTGTGAAATTTGGCTGACAAACATTACATCACGTCACATTAGGGAGCTTGTTAGATGCCAAGATACATTCATTTGATTTCAGAGAACTTCATAGAAGTTCGTGGAACTTCGTAAAAGTTCAGGGACCATCATAGATCTTCAGGAAACTTCGTAAAATGTGAAACAACTTCGTGGATGATGATTACGGAACATCGCATGAATTATTTGAAAGCTCAGCAAGCTGGGCAGAAATTCAGTTGTAACTATCGAAAAAATTGAGCTAAGGAAAAATCTTTGAAGTACTGGGAACTTCGAAGAAGTTGAAGGAAAATCGCAGGATTTCATCGAATATTCTACATATTTAGGGAACTTTATATAGGCTTTGAGTTCATGGAACTAAGTTTTAGTTCAAGAAACTTCTTGAAAGTACAAGAATCTTCGTATTACTGATATTCACGGATTTGCGATGATATCTCTAGATATTATTCAAGACTTTCCAACTAAATCAAGTAATGTTCTGAAGATCTGCAAGTGTTCAAAAATTCAAAGGACGTCTTTTAGACATCCTTCCAAGAAGGAAGATTGATTAGAGAGTATTTAAAGGATATTCAGCTGGTCGGAGATCTAAAGACCTCTGGATATTTTTCAAGACTTCAGGTTGATCAATTATTATTCATAAGATACTGTTCAGAAAATTCAAATCAGGAAATCTGAAGATCTTAAACTGGTAAAACATTCAATTGACTCTCTCAAGATGGCAGATCGGTTAGGAAGTACTTAAAAGATCTCTAGCTGATCAAAGATTTCAATAAAGTCCTCTGGATATTTTTCAAGGCTTCAGGTTGATCAAGTACTATTGTGAAGATATTCTCCTAAAACTGAAAGTGGATCAGGAAGTATTCAAAATATCTCCAGCTAATCGAATATTTCAGTGAAGTTCTGTGAACAATCTTGTAAGCGGTCACCGTAGTCGAAACATTTTCTGTGATAATCAACTGCGTTTGCTTCCGACGATTGCAAAACAAGCTATCAAATTACAGTACCAAACTAAAATGTCAAATGACAGGCTCTGTCATACGACACTGTTGCCGAAGACCGTCACGAATGTATGCATTTAAGTTTTTCTCATAATAAAAGCTACAGATGTTGTGCTTGTGTGAATTCTGAAACTAGCAAGCAACGATGACCTAGTAATAAATTTTTTGATCAGAAATGGTTTAGTTTACACCAAATTGAGAAATTAGAATGAAATCGCAAATGTCATATGATAGTTATTTGATAATTTTCTTTTTCCTCGAATGTTGTTCTGCCATTTGTGTTGTGTAAGAGAGACGACGGTACAGCATGAGAGTATGAATACAAATTGACTGTCGGGCACGACAACGAAGCGAGTGTTGTAAAAAACGTCAACCGTTTCAACCCCTGCCTGTGAATATTCAATTAGATCAAGTTTAAAATATGCTTAAAATATGAAGTCAAAAACTTCATTTAGGGGTAAGAGGGGCATAGTGAACATCCCGTACACAGCTTGGACTTCCGGCCGTTCGGAACAAATTGGTTGTTGGTAGGATCAATATCATAATGATATTGAACCTACTACCAGTTGATTTGTTTCATGCAACTTGAGATCCAGGGCCAATCTGTGGGATGCTCACTATGCCCCACCTGTTCACTATGCCCCTTCACCCCCAATTTAACAAAAATCTTCATATTCCAGCTTAAAATAAAAAAAAAAAATCCATCGGAAGCCTGCTTCAGCTTCCGCATGTCTTGAAACAACTTCACAAATCATGAGATGTTTTCAAAATGTCTGCATGAAAAAAAAATACCTTAACAGAAATATTAAATGTCTTCAAAATGAAGATATGTCTTTACATCTGTTTTCCCTAGTATTGAAGAAGTCTCCGAAGGAGATGAAACATACGAATATTAAAACAATTTACTATCCATATTCACTTCCCGGGATCCCGGGATTTCCCGGGATATCAAATAAATATTTACTGAGCTCCGGGATGGTGGAAACCACCGGGAAATGGAAGCTCTAGGTTAAACAATTTTCAGTCGTGCCTAATCAATATCCAAATAATAAGAATATCTAAGCTTACATGTTGACAGTGAAATATTGACTGCAGCTCAATTCTAACATAAGATACGGTATAAAATGTAACTGAAGGTGTCATCTTAGACCGAGACGGACCACTCTAATATGGAAATGGTCACCCTAATGACACGGGTCTAAAACTTTGCGATAAGGGACTAAACTACCAATTTTTACGAACCACTGTATCGTTTTGCTATGGAATGGTTGATATAATAAACGATCGTTTTTGACTAGTTAAGTGGCTTACATTATTTTGCCAGTTTGAATAAAAATACCCCACTGTGCAGCGTCGTCGTCCTCCTCCTCCTCGGTTCCGTATCACCGAAATGGGTGACTTTCATTTCGATTCCTCCGGCTCGGTTTTGTGTCCTCTTATCACAAGTGCCAATACTTGGGCACAATTTTGATCCGATGCTACATCGTACGTACTTACGTTTAATCTTATTAGGACTATAATCCCCGGTGAGCTGGACTGCTGGCTCAATTCGTCCAATTTCTCGACGGAGAAGTCGAAACAGAAAAAGGAAACTAATATCACAGCTTTTGTAGCGCGAGCACCTCCTCCTGTGGCTGCAAGGCGAATGGGAGAGTAAATCAAAAATTGCACATTCGTTACTTGATTGTTGCCGGGAGGCTTCCCGTACCTACATCAGGACTCGCCGGGAATAATTCCTGGAACGACATCGAAATTTATAAGCTTCGGTACAAGTGTAAATTGCAAGCGTAAGGCGGTTGCCCAAAATGGAAGCGTTTTCTGAAAATCCAATTTCGAGCGCTTCCACTCAAGCTGGGAAATTTGCTTCCACCACTCGCCGTCGTCGACGTCGTCGGTGATTCCTCTGGGGTTGACGAGGAAAAGAAAGATGCCGGTTTGCTCTTGCCATACATCCTGAAGGTGCACTAATGCATTTCGTTCGTGCTGCTACTGTCCGCCCGCTGCTGTTGTGTACACAGACTGGTGAAACTAGGATAATTGAATCGTGGTGTGCTACAATCGGGATTATATTATACAGCTCGTGGAAATCGCACCTGGTTTCGGGGGTGGTCCGGAGAGAAGGGGGATAACACTTGAGGTGAGACTCGATGCAACTCAGCCACACGAGACAGACTGGTTCTGGTTTGGGGAGTAGAGGATTGGATGAGGAAGTGAATAAATTTGATGAAAATTGAACTGCTTTCGCTCGGTTGCTGATGGTGCAGCTCTCGTGTAGTGCTTGCTGGGAGTAGTTGGAAGTATGTGCGAGGGTATAAGCATTGTGCAATATCAGCTCTTTTCCCGATGTACCCTAAGGATTCGGTGGAAAGTGGGTTCGGGAACAGGAGTGGATCTGAAATTTCTACAAAATGTGATGTCGGTGGTTTACCGATGCTCTGCTTCCCACGTCGTGACTGTTGTAATGTGTTTACATTGCCTCTGAGTAATAAAGATGTTCTGCTGGTGGTATTTTTCGTTTACCGTGGAAATGCATGATTTTTTTCAATTGCTGTGCTTGGATTGATGTATTTAGATTGGAAAGTACGTTTATTGAAAGTATGACATCACTCTAGAATCAAACGAGTTATTTATCACTTTTCGCCATCCTCCCCAACTTTGATCATCATCCTGGTTTTCCTCAGTGGAAGTTGTTGTCCTCCGAAAGCACCCCACCAAATGCCACGTCGACCACCGAGAACACTTCTGCTGTATTCTCCATTCAAGTTGCTACTACAATGGAAATCAAGATTTTACATTTTATCGTCTATCGAAAATTCTAAACACCTACCTCTTATAACCAGTTCCGCAGTCGTAGTGCCAATGGCCACTGCCCGTTAAGATTGAACAATCCAAAATTGACTTATCATTGATCCGATCATAAGTGCTAAACGGTTCGTTTCGATAAACCCAAAAGGAATCCCGTGCCGTGCCGTGGTACGAGTATTCCTCATTTGACAACCGAAGGGTGTAGTTTGTAGTTTCATCCTCCACTCGGAATCCAGGATAGATTTCATGGGCCGAAAAATCCGTAAAATTCTCTATTACTATCAGTAGTTTATGCTCCCTGGCGACGGTAATTTGATGAATCCTCTCCAATCCCAACCAGAACTCCTGTTCCATGTATCCGAAACCTTGCTTATACTCGTCCCAGCTTCGATTGAATCCAACCGATCCGTCGTAGCGATTCTGGAATACGAGCCATCCTCCGCCGTATTTTTGCTGTTCGCAATAGGCTGGAAACGGTGGATATCCGTTGGCCAGGCTGATGGTATACACTCCAGACTGGCTGGGTGCTTCCGAGCATGATTTGTACTGACGGGTATCACGAGTGACCAACGTGGGCGACAATGCGCCAGTTAGTGAAACGAGAAGCGTAAATAGAAAAATTATCAAGTGATAGGTACTCATAGTGCTCTGTAGTGACGTCTGCGATAACTGAAGACGAAAGCTGCTCGTGGACAATTTTATATCGAAGGGCACCTGAAAGAGTTGTTCAGATAGTTCAAATATTATTTATCATCAAAAAGTACACGGTAAAAAGTTTTGAATTCCATTTATCGTGTAAAATCTTCCCACAAATTAATTTGAGCTAAAATTTTGATATACAAAGAAATTGTTTCAAACTTGTTGCAAAATTTCTGATTTATGCGATACCACTCTTAAATTAACAAATTTACATGAAATATCATGCAAACGTATGCCAAAGCTACACACTTAGAAAAGTTGATGTAGATTTAGGTGCTCTGAGACTGACATATGCGAGCGTCAATTTTGAAATAAAATTGAGTCATAATAGACGCAAAATTCAGCTCAATCAAACGTACTTTCGAACTTTTCAGTCTCGGAGCACTTAATATTACATGACATGTTTGTTTACGTCTCATCTTTTATGTCAAAGTTGGATTCAATCACGTGAAAGATTAGATATTTCTGAGTGTGTAGCGTTATCTATGTGTGCGCTAGATATCGCAGATTTTTTTGCATTTTCTTTCATTTTCATTCATTTTCGCACTATTTGGCCAGGAAATGCTTATGTGCATCATAATTGAAATTGATTTAGATGATGGATTGGTTTGCATTTGGATTAATTCCACTACATTTCTGGTCTGAAAGGTATGCTGTTCCCTTGATATTGATTAAGAATTGTTCATGATTTTTTATTTTTGGTATAATTTCTAAAGAATAAATTTCTTAACGATTATCTTAAGTATCATTTCGGTAATTGTAGAAAGTTGTTCAAACTAACTCCGTTATCTGGACCAGTGTTGGCAGATATACCAATTTATCGGTATTTATACTGATTTTCAAATTTGACACCGATGTACAGATGAGGTTTCTCAGAATACCGAGTATTAAGTTACCGATTTAAACCGATTTTTTTTTTAAATAATCAAAATGATTACTGCTCGCCCATGCTGAAACTATTGTGAGAGGCTTTTATCTTTTTAAACATTCAATTTTTTGAGCTAGCTCTAAAAAAAACTACTTCTTTAAATTTTTTTATGCTTGATACTCTTTCGAATAATGCGTCTATTTCCTCGCCTTTTTTAAAACGAGAATGGCGCATCCCGGTATATATTGTAAATCGTGAAATACTTTTATTCAGTAAACAAGTAAATCCATCAAAATGTTAATTTTTCAACTTCCTGAAATTTCTTTTATCTTCTCTTCGAAGTTTCTTCCAACTTTCCCTAGGAATTTTCATCCACCTTACCCTGCAAATTATTTTACAATTCCTTCTATTTCGACTTCCCTTGGAAGCTTCTTCTGGCTGTCCTTGAAAGGTTCTTTCGCCTTTTCTCTTAACTTACCAATCAGGCTAACGCCTTGTTGTCCTCTGCTGTCCGAAGAAGTCGTCTCCACCCAAGCAACAATTATTGTTTTATTTAAGTTTTATAGCAGTTGATATAACCAAATTATAAAACCTTCACTGACGACCACATTGCTTTAACAATCTCCTGAGAACCGCAATACAGCCATGTCATGGCCAATTGGCCCAGTTTTAATGCAATCATTAAAACTTGATATGCGAACTACTTTAGGAGCATAGGATTTATGTCAGTTTTATCACACTCTAGACGTGATTGTTAAAAATGAAAACATAAAACCTCCTCCAGGTCAGAAAGTTTTAACAGCCTTCTAATGACTACCATAAAACTATATTACAACCGCATAAATCGCTCCTGAAGAAGTTGATAAAACATGATACGCAAAACATTTTGACAACTTTGAAGGTTTTAAGTTGGGGTTTTTGGATGATAGTTAATATTGAGAAATATTTTATTGTGGTTTTATTCTTTCGATGTTTGATGTGAAATCATGATCCTTGTCAGTTGGTAATAATGGCTGATATTATTGTACATTGAAAATAAGACGACTTTATTATAATTTTAAACCAATCTGTATATGCTTCACAGCATGCCGTGCAATATTTATGGTGATTATTATACCAAATAGGAGCATAAATTTAGTGCGCCATATGAATACTAAAATATAGGGATATTTTTAATTTGTCTGCATTAGCACCATGCATTAAAGAGTCATTCAAAGATTATCTATTTAGTACAAAACTGTTACTACTGTTGAGCAATAACCAGTCACATATTATTTAATTATACATAGATGTATGAAAGTGTTTTATTGCCTATCAATTAAAGCGTAATTATTCATACTGTGTGAAATTTGTTCATACGGTGACATTTTTCTTCGTTATAACTTGCTACTCCTTAAAAATACCTCAATATAACATATTCTCCTAGATTGGAATTCTATAGCATAACATAAACCTAATGGTTGTATCTTAGCATTTCGTAGTCCAAATTGAGAGCGTTAAGTTATATTTAAGCTATATAACTAGCTTGCTGGTTTTATTCGGTACAGCGAATCAAAACAAAACAAAAACCATGACCACCTGTCAAAAAGTCAACATTCCAAGCGATCCTCCTTTTTTCGCTTGTAATCAAGATGTAAGAAATGCTTATTGGATCCACTAAAAGCTTTTTCAATACAAGGTTTAAAGCCGTGATGCCAATACTGGCCATCTCCAAACGGATTTAGTGAAACTGTCGGCGTTGCTTTAAGAAGGGTTCGTGGATCTTTCGGAAGTGTATCGGAAAGCCGCTTGTTCAATATTTTTAAGAGCTCCTTCACCGCACTGTGCCTTATGTAGGGATCGTATAACTGTAGTTCCTCCAGGAGTTTCATATTGTCGATCGTCTCATCTTCATCGTGTTCAGAAGCACTGAAGGGGTTTTCATTTCATATATCTGAATAGATTTGTTTTTTATAATGACAAAAAATTTCAGAGTATTTTTTGTTGTAGCAGTATATTTCTTATCTGTGAATCTTAGGCCTCTGATAAAGATGATAGTTGTAATGAAGCTTTAATGAAGGTCTAAGACTGCTTCAAGTTTTATATCGGTCATAAAAAGTGTACCATAAAACATAATTGTATGTTTTGTTTTGGTTTTATTCTTCAGCTATAAGTAGTGATGCAGAACCACCTTACAGCTACCGTTAAAACTATGAAGTCTGAGTTTTAATTTAGTAGTCATAAAACAGTTTTATAGACGACTTGATGGCCTGATTTTATGACAAGCACACAAAACCGTAATACAACCACAGGCTGGAAGGGATGCTATGATAAAACAATGATAAAATAAGAATAAATCTTCCAAGCATTTAGATTGTTACTTGGGCACTCTCCATGGATCGAGCATGGCCACAAGTCGTCAGCCTCGTAGTCTGCGAAGGATCAGCAGGTCGCACGCTATGTCTGAAGGCACTTTTTTTTGCAACATTCATGTACCTCAGTTTTATCTTCACAGGAAGTTAGTATTGATCCTAACAATCAAATCTGCGAAGGTTTTAAAATATTTCATCTTGGGTTTTCTGAGAAAAAGTGTTTTGAAGTTTACTTAGCTGTTAACAAAGGCGTATACGGACTATTGATTATACAAAACTGTTACGGATCGAAACAAATTCAGCTGAAAAAGGGGATTAAAGTTGTCAAAACACTTAGTTTCAATGATACAGTAAGATTCGCTCTTCGGTACCGTCAGATATCGTAACAAAGTCAGAATGTTTAAATTAATAAAATAATTAAACAATGGTTTAGTCTCTAAATTTACTATTATTAAGCCATTCCATTGCAAAACGATATAGTGGTTCTCAGAATTTGGTAGGAAATGGTAGTTTTGATCCTTATCGCAAAATATTTTTTTTTTATTTTGTCATTAGGGTGACTATTTCAACGTTAGGGTAGTCCAAAAAATCGTTTATTTTTTATTTTTTTCAAAAATGATTTTTTTCAAAAATTTATAACTTTTGAACAACTGGGCCTATTTTAAAGATCAAAATATCAAATGAAAGGTTATTAAAAGTACTTGTAGTGATGAAATATAATGATATTAAAAAATAGGGATTTTATATTTGAAAACAATGATTGTATTCGTTTATTATGATTTTCATGGTTTGTAGATAGAGGGTGTTTTTATATTTTTCTTATAAAATTTAGGCTTCAGCGATGTGTTGTTTTCATTAGCTGATGATTAAAATTTCATCCTTCAAAAACTGCACGATTACCAATCAGGTAATGGCGTTTATCAAGCACCTACAATGGCTACCAGCGAATCCAAATTACGTATGCTGAGTCACATTTGCGGCAGCCACCATCTTGCGTTTTTGGGATCATTCTTGGCCGCGTTGTCTTTCCTCATAGCTGATTTGAGGTCGGGCTGGATAGTTTGACGGCCGGTATGTCTCATACATTTAGCCAATTTTAGCATCTGAAATATAACAAAAGTATAGTTTAAAGTCATGTAAAATATAAAGTTATAAAGATAACTGTTACATACTAACCTTATTAACACTCAAATTAAGATCTTTCTTAAAGCTGAGTAAATCTTCGTGAGAAATCTTAGATTTTTTTCCTGACTGTTTCAAATTTAAACCCATTGGTCTTCCTGCTACGTTTTAAAAACTAACCTAGGCCAGTTTTTTGCCTGCTAATGCTTTTGGCAACAAAGTGATGCTTACTTTCATCTGCCAATTTGGAGAGATTCTGAAGTTTCCAGTGTTCAGCATATGCATGACGTTTCTCAGGAGAAACCTGCGTCCGACATTATTTGAATATTTTTATTAATTTTTTTTTTTTTTTTAATGCGTTTGTTTTTCTAGGCTCATTTGCCGTAGCTTTGCGGAGCCGATATTCATCGTTTGGGTACAAAATTACTTAAAACTAACGTTAGTAAAGCGGGGGCCGATTACTCGCGACTTTCTCGAGGTTAGGGGTAACAAATTGTAACAAACGGGTGGCAGGGTAGGGATTGAGAACACAAGGTTTTTTAGAGCAATGTGCTCTTGATCTAGAACTAAGCGACATACTGGAGAAAAAGACAAACATGGGGGCACACCGAT